GAAACCCCATCCAACTACTGAGGGATCTGGATGCAGAGATCCATGGCTAGGCCCCGGGTCGAGCTCTGGGAGTCCAATTAGCGAGAATGAGGAGGGTTTATATGAGCGAGAATTGTTGAGACCAAGGTTGGATAAAGCACAGGGACAAATAGCCAAACGAATGGAAACACATGAACTATGAACCAATGGCTGAGGGGCCCCCAACTTGATCAGACCCTCTGAATGGGTGAGACAGTTGATTGGCTTGGTCTGTTTGGGAGGCATCCAGGCAGTGGGACCGGGTCCTGTGCTCATTGCATGAGTTGGCTGCTTGAAACCTGGGGCCTATGCAGGATCGCTTGGCTCGGCCTGGGAGGAGGGGACTGGACTTACCTGGACTGAGTCTACCAGGTTGATCTCAGTCCTCGGGGGAGGCTTTGCCCTGGAGGAGGTGGGAATGGGGGGTGGGCTGGGGGGAAGGTGAGGGGGGCGGGAGGGGGGAGAACAAGGGAATCCGTGGCTGATATGTAGAACTGAATTGTATTGCAAAATAAAAAAAAAAAAAAAAAAAAGAAAAAGAAAAGAAAGCTATCTGGACAGGTTAACAGTTTTAGCAGAAAACAGAATGCTACAATTGATAAAGGTATGCATGTAAGTTTCTTGACATTGCACTCAGGAGTTTTTACATACCGAGCTAGCACTCAGCCACGGCAGGACACCAGCAGAAGCACAAATACAACCTTTGATTAGCAGGGAAGAATTACACTTGTTCCATGTGTACCTTATCATGAATTTCTTGGTAATCACCATGAGTCCGCAACACGGAAGGGTCAGGATGTTGATAACGAGCTAATGGAATCTGTCACATACTGTATGCATTTATTTTCTAAGTAATACATAACTCATTTTAAAAAATCCGAACAACATAAATTTACTTAGGGTAAAATTGATAGTTTTTTATTGCGGCATAAATCCTACCTCTCATTTCTGTAATTGATCATTTTTAATAAATTTATGAGTTTCCTTCTAAAGTTCTTTCATAGATCCGTGCACATAGGCATGTGCTGATTAAAATTGTGATAGATTTTTAAGAAAGGTATCACCGATTGATTTTGTCATTCTGTATACATCACAGGACATACTTGAGTAAGCCTATTAATAGATGGTGCAGCTTATTGCACATCTAGTGTGCATGATCCATGCACTGTACGTGTACACAACTGCCAGTGCTGTAGACCCTTGACCCCATCCTTATCACAAACAAGTGAGTAGTGCATTGTGTGGCAATCCTGCAATGGTCACAATGCCACTTGATAAAAGGAAATTTCGGACTCGTTACTTTAATTTGCTTTTAATTATTTAATTTAATTCGTGTGTTTGTACATGTGCATGTGCCTGTTTGTGACTGAATGTGTACTTGTATGTATAGTTGTGTGGAGGCCAAAGGATACTCTTAGTGAGTTGCTCTTCCTGAAACCTCAGCCACCATTCCCCCTTGCTCTTTCCTTTGTTCTCCTCCTTCTTCTTTTGGCCTACAAATCACTATGGAGACTTTGCCAACTAACTAGCAAGGCCCCAGACCTGCCTGTTTCCACCCTCCTAGCAATATATATATATATATATATATATATATATATATATATATATATATATATATATCATGTATATGTGTAATACTTTAAATACATTTCTCTATAATTATAAAATTTACCCTCTTTTCTTCCACCCAGACTCTCCCATGTATATCCTTAGCTTGCACTCTTTCAAATTTATGGCCATTAAAATATATGCATATATATATCATATATATATATATATATATATATAAACAATCTGTTCCTTACACAAGCAGAATTATCAGCATAAAGCATTTCTCTTAACATAAATGTATGTTGTAGGCTGATGTTATTCAATATATTCATGTGTACCTTATACAGAATATTTAATATCATGAACCTATCATTGGGTTCAGTCATATTCTTTCTTAAAATTCATTTCATGATTCTATAGGTATGAATGTTGGCCTACATGTACATTTGGGAATCACATGTGTGTCTGGTGCCCATGGAGGCTAGACGAGGTTGTTGGATCCATAGGAAATGTAGTTATAGATTATTGTGAGTCACCATGTTAGTGCTGAGAATTGAACCTGGGACATCTAGAAGTGCAGTCAGAGATCCTAACTGCTTATTAATGAACATGTAAGATACCTTGTGTTATTGCCACAAGGGGTACCTTTGTATGTAGATTTTATATACACACATTATGTATGTAATTTAGGTCCCTAGAAATAAAATTACCGAATTGTGGAACACATAAATCTTGTCATGTTTTAATAAATCACATTGCCAATTAATAATAGCACCAATATATGCCTACTGAGTCCGTAGTTGCCAACACTAAATAGTATCAGCATCATTAATTATATTTGTTATAAAAACAACAGCCTGATTGATGTTAAGAACCACCATTGACTTGTTAAAGCGTATTTTCTGTATATGTCTTATTTGTTAGTTTCATTTTCTTTCTGCATCAGTTATCACTTGAGCTCAACTGTCGAAGGTAATTTAGTAAGCTCAAGATAAGAAGGAAAAAAAATACCCTATTGTATCTACCCAGTTTCTGCTGCTCTTTTTTTCTTGTTGAAATTTTATCGTCCCTTCCTTCACTATGTCTTCCGGTGAGGAAACTTCCTCAGCTATACTCTCAGAATAGATTTACTTCTGATAAATTCACCCAGTTTGTTTCATCCACGAAGGCTTTCATTTCATCTTCATTTTTGAAAGATGTTGTGTTTCTAATGCTAAAGTTCTACTTCTTTGTGATACTTTGTATCTTTTATCTAGGCCAAGCCTATTTGTAACTGCTCATTGAGAAGTTTTTACCATGACAAAGGCCCATCCACTATTTAATGTCCCTGCCATTTTGATATTTGGCATTCATTTCCCCTCTTCTGTGATTTTTCTGGTCCTTTACGTGATGAATGAATTTTGACTAAACTATAGACATATTTATATTATTTTGTTGGACTTTGGATCTTATTTTAACTTTCTGTTTTAACCAGATGTCTTTGAAAGTATAAGGTTGCTACTTGGTTACTTCCATGTATAAGTAGAAGTCAAAGTCTTCTAACCAATCTCATATTGATCTGTGAGGGAATAGTTTCTACTTACCCCCACCTACACCACGGATGGACTGGCCTTATTAGTGAAAGATGATTTGAAAGTCTTGAGTGTCCATGAAACTCATGGGACACTACCAACACACAGAGGAGGGACTTATTTCTGATGGAAGAGAGATGTTCTGTATGAGAATCTTTCCTGATGCTTTAGCCTAGGAGGGTGATCACAGGCTGTGGCACTGAAAGGTGAGCTGACTGTTCTTCCCTTACTGTGACTCAGGTGATGGGATATATCATTGTGGTCTCTCTGGATTGAAAGCCTAGGCTCGCATCCTGAGCATGTTGACTTTGAAGCTGGACTGAGGTTGTGTGATCTTTCTGTCATTGTTCAGTATTTGGCTGGACTCTTGAAATTGGTTAATGATTTTCTCTTGTTAGGATGCTGCTTTCCTAAGCAGACTAGAAGGAAAAGCTAAGCTTTAGCTGGACATATTTTGTCAGCACCTGTTGCAACTTCTGGGTCAACAGCTTCTTCACTTCCAATTCTGCGATGCATAAGGCTAGAAGAAAATGTCAGGAATCATCCACACAGCCTGGTCCTCAGGTTTCAGAGCCCATAGTGAGCTTGTCTACTTCATCCATCTCTGAGTATTTCTTACATCTTCTTATACATATTGTGTGTCCAGTGTTTTTAGTTGTGTTTAGGTAGAGTAAGGAAATATTTGTCTGACACAATTTCCCAGAAGTTAAACTCTTACTTTTCTGATTATTTATTTTGATAGTTTCCTGAAAGATTTCAGAACTCTCTTGTCCAGAACTGAGGTCACCATGAAGCTATTCTTCTATATAGGAGTTGTCTTAATTAGGGACAAGCTCTAGCACTTTCTTTATATCATGAATTTCACTGATTTGCTGGTGTTCAGAAATCTGAACAAATTAACAGCTAATGGAAAACACTTTCAGGATGCAAAAGAAATCTATTAAAGGGAAATATAGGCACATGAAAGAGGAAAATGTAAAAAGGCATCAGAGTACAACAGGATGAAGAGATGAGAAGCTACGCAGAACAACGTAACTTGCAAAATCCCTTGGCAGGAAAGTTTTTAAAATCATCATGCCACTAAGATTAAAAATTCATTTTTTTGTGCTTATTCTACTACTTGGCAAAAGTAGAGACACCTTTGATACTGGAAAGATAAGATGGAAATGAAATACCTCTGTTCCTTGCAAAAAGAACAATGAATAAGAAGAACAAAACTAAGACAGAAAGGGAGTTAATTTTAGGTTTAAAGCCTAAATATGAAGTCTAATTTCATTTACAGTGAAGAACATGATACTGTTGATACAAATATTTCAACACAGCATGTCAGTTTAAGCAGGGTATATTTCTCATGTGTGAAAGATGGCATGAATTCTGTCTTTAACCTGTTGTTTATCAGAGCTAAGAAAATAACTGTAGGATACTTTTTTCAACAGTAATTCATATATTTTGGAAGAGTCTTAAAACATGAAGCTGATTAAGTATATCCCTGTAAATAGCTGTTTTCTCTATCTACTGAACCTGTACCTATTTGATATTTAATGACCTACCAAAGTCTAATGAGTTCTAGAGCCTTGATATGTGACCCAGGTGCCTATCAATTGTGAATCCTGCCAACTTGTTTATTTTAATAATCATCACTGACTTGTTAAGATAGATTTTTGGAATTCATATTTTCCCTGGATTAGGTACTTATGATTGTTGTTATTGATTAGACATATTTGCTATATCATACATTAGAACAATTCAAGTGGAACAATAAATTTCTGCCAAATTCAAAACTATCTCAATAGAGATAAACAAAACAAACAAAAACCAAATCTAATTTTACCAAAACTGCCTTTTTAAGTCTCTGCTTACCTTATTGAGTAAAGGACATTTCCATTTTTGAAAATTCTTAGCAGTTTGTTATCTGTGGTGACTTCGTGGAAGTTAGCCCCCTTCTCATTAGCAAAGAACAAGTCCGGTTTCCAAATGGAATCCAACATGGACGGGTCCAGGTCCAGTGAATCATCAGGATATTCACTGTATGCAAGACGAGGATCATTCCATTTCTGACGAAGAAAAATATTCACTCTGTAATCCTGAGAGAGAGAGAGAGAGAGAGAGAGAGAGAGAGAGAGAGAGAGAGAGAGAGAGAAGAGAAGTAGAGAGAGACTTTAAAAACTACAGTGTACCAATGTCTGTCACTTCACTGTACCTTCCCCAATTGCAACATGGGGCACTATGCAGAATATGTAGATGGTGGAGAAAATGGTGAAGCTACAGCCATGATTTACTATTTTGACTGTGTTCTCGGTGACTCTCAAGTCTTCCGATAAAAGGCCATGGAGGATGACCGCTCATCACACTTTGTTTTTCCCTTCAAATTTTACTTTCCTGGTTTGTCATATTAAAATGTTAGAAAGTGGGTAGACATTTGAAGCCGAACACTTTCTTCATTTATTTTTAGAAACATTTCTTCTAAGTATCTAACAAGGTTGAAAGTTATGTTCTTTTCTGAAAGCTTTCTGTCATACAAAAATAATAATGTATACTTTTAGAGTTATAAATCATGTTTTTATTTTTGTTCTTTTGAGGCAAGGTCTCACTATACAGCCTTAGTAGGTAGGCTTGGAACTTACCATGTAGACCATGTTGGCCCAGAACTAATAGAGATGAACCTGTCTTTGCCTCCTGAGTGCTGGGATTAAATGTTTGTGTCACAGTACCTGGCATGAAACAGTTGTTTAATATTTAACTTTGTTTAATGTGACAAGTTCTATAAAATAAGTCATTTAAAAATAATAGAAGATGATTTGTGAGTATTAAAAGAATAATAATGGCTAATCCCAGCAATGTTTTAAGATAATATTTCTAGTGACGTTTTCCAATAATATTTCTTGGCCTCCCACTCACTATGCAGCCAAGGATGATCCTGAGCTTTTAATCCTTATGCCTCCATATCTCATGTGAAAAAACTACAGGTATACCTGACCATGCCACATGGTGTGGAGGTTTTTTTTTTCTTTTTTTTTTTTTCAATACATATCAGCCACGGATTCCCTTGTTCTCCCCCCTCCCGCCCGCCTCACCTTCCCCCCAGCCCACCCCCCATTCCCACCTCCTCCAGGGCAAAGCCTTCCCCGAGGACTGAGATCAACCTGGTAGACTCAGTCCAGGCAGGTCCAGTCCCCTCTTCCCAGGCCGAGCCAAGCGATCCTGCATAGGCCCCAGGTTTCAAACAGCCAACTCATGCAATGAGCACAGGACCCGGTCCCACTCTTGGATGCCTCTCAAACAGATCAAGCCAATCAACTGTCTCACCCATTCAGAGGGTCTGATCCAGTTGGGGGCCCCTCAGCCATTGGTTCATAGTTCATGTGTTTCCATTCGTTTGGCTATTTGTCCCTGTGCTTTATCCAACCTTGGTCTCAACAATTCTCGCTCATATAAACCCTCCTCATTCTCGCTGATTGGACTCCCAGAGCTCTACCCGGGGCCTTGCCATGGATCTCTGCATCCAGATCCCTCAGTCGTTGGATGGGGTTTCTAGCACGACAGTTAGGGTGTTTGGCCATCCCATCACCAGAGTAGGTCAGTTCGGGCTGTCTCTAGACCATTGCCAGCAGTGAGTTTTATTATTAGTTTTCTCCTTACAGTTTTGAAGTGGATAAATCTATAGATTTCATTATACATGATTTAAGCATATGACTGCAGAAAGTTTCAGTTATCTGGGAAATACTGGAGCTGTACAGAGAAACTAACAATCCAACCATTTTCTTTATTTCTTTAATAGCAAATATGGTAAGCAAGCCATAGAAAGAGGCTTCCGAACTCTTGGACTTTGTCATTTAGACAAGTGAAATGCATGCTTTGCCCTGAATACTGAAGACACAATCTGGTCAGTATTTGGGCACCAACACTACTTCCCTCCAACTGCAACTAAGCTTACATACCAGACTTTCCCCCCTCTGCCTGCTAGATGGTCCATGCATCTTCCTCTGTTTCTTCTTGTGGCTGTACTTGATCATCTCAAAAAAGAATATAAGCACCACTAAATGTTTGGCATTTAGCAATAGGAATATATAAATTCTTTAAAAATTTGGTGAAATTTCTTTTGAATATATTAACCCCCTCTTCCAATTCCCCCAGATTTATCTTCCCTCCGTACACACCAAACTTTGTGTCCTATTTTTATTCTTAAACCCATGAATTCCAGTTCATGTTGCCCATGTGTTCTTATGTGTATGGCCTTCCACTGGAGTGTCTCCACATACCGTGAGCTACTTATAGTCTTAAAGAAAACTCTCTCTCCAAGTATCTATGAACTGCCAGTAGCTTCTCATCTAGGGATGGGACTTTGTGTCCATATTCCTTCTCCATGCTAATATTTAGTCTGCCTTGGGATTGATTACACAGATTTTGTCATAGTGACAAAGTAATTTTTAATATGCATGTATGTATAGGCTTGTATTATTTTTAAGATTTTTTTCTGATATAAATATCGATAGATTTCTGATTTTAATTAGAAAGGATATGTGATTTGACTAAAAATTTAAAATTCATAGACAAATTAAAAATAATCCAGAATTCTTCTTTTCTTAAGGAGTCTTATCCAAGGCTGCTGGCTAAGTTAAAAAGTGACCAGAAAATTAATTTGTCAAAAAATGAAGAATAAATACTACTCTCCCAAATACTCAGCTACTATGTTTTCTAGACTTTTCCAGTTCCCAAGCACTGTGCAGAATAAGTTCTGTGTATCACAAAGCACAGAGCACTAATACTCAATGGTGGTGTAATTGCTTCTAGCCCTGTCTCTGTAATATCCCCCATGTTGTCTGCAACATCTGCTCCAGGAGCATCCACAGGGAGGGTAGTCGCCTGGGACCACTGATTCTGAAATAATGGCCTATTGGAAAAGCCTCATTCATTCCTCAGTTACTAAACCAATAGGGAATAAAGTCATTTTATACCAACTATTTGGAGTCTTTGAAAGGTTATTTCAAAACTCCTCCTGAGTCCCTCTTCATTATCCATATGTTTATTCTCTTTGAAAAAGTCAGAATCGTTTTTAAATTACCAAAAACTATAAAGGAATATAATTTTGTACCAATTCTGAAAACAAAAGAAGAAATATTGGTTAGAACATAAAATGTGTTAAACTGACAGAAATATATTCTTTGTATCATTCTGCAACCTCTTTGTGTATTTAAGATTGGAAACCACAGACTAAGAACATGCCTCAATCCTTACACATTCTTTTCAAATTTGAATGTTTGTTTCAATAAATTGAGTTCATTTAATTTGGGCAATCTTAGTTTTGTAGAGAAACACTGGCACACAGCCAGTATTTTTAGTAGCTGCTGGATATCAGTGAAAAATAATAATCACTGTTGCTCCTTGGTTTTGATGGGAAAGGCACTCTCTTAATGTGTGCATAGTAGCAACCCACAAGTCCCCACTATTCCCGCTATTCTCTTCTACCACAGATGCCTATTTACATTCTTACTCAATTTCTTTTTTATTTGCACACTTTCCTTCTTTATGTTGGCCAGGATAAACAGGCAGACTACTTTCTCATAGCCAATTGTGTCAACAGATGGGTGGTTAGGAATTAAAACAGTTCAACTTCTTGTACTATGCTTCTACCCACCACTTCATTTTATGTTAAACCAAATAGGAAAAAAAGAGCAAAAGCCCTCCTGGTTTAAGAATTGTAGACAATGGAAATCTGCCACTATTGCTACTTCCCTTCAAAAATCCAAATCTGTATCTGGAATTTTACTCACTCCAACTTAGAATGAGTTATTTTGCTTAACTGTATTGTTACTTGTTCGGAATCACAAATACATATTAAAATGAAGACAACCATCCATGCATGACATTCATTTGCAATATGTGCTTTACTTATGTGAGCATGATCTGCTTGTTATTTTTGGGCTTCTGTTAAACAAACATCTTTCCCAACTAGAATATATAACTCAAATCATAAAAGTCATTAAAGATTTGGGAGGCAATAAGATCTTTAGAGCATGTCTTGTTTTCTAGCAGCACTAAAAAAATGTCCTTCACCATTCTATGAATTCTGAAAATTCCTTCCAACTAATAGAGAGCAACTTTTTGAAGAGGCCAAAAGGCACTTGGTACTTTACACATGAATAATGTCCTCATTGAACATCATTTTGAAGACCTTCCAACCTTTGAATTTTTGGAATATCTTTTGTAAACTGTGATATATACATACACTAAGTGTTAAAAACATATTGTCAGATGCAATAGGATTAGCCATTGGTGACATTTCATACTTTAATAATATTGTATAGCCATAACAACTATTCAGTTGCATATTATTTTTGTCACCCCAGAAGGAAAATCTGTACCCACTGTGCGGCCTCTTATCTCTGCTTCCAACCACTGAGAACCAGTACTCTGCTTTCAAACTTTAAGTCTCAGTAGTACTGGCACTTCAGTTCATCAATGTGATACTATCTGTGACCCGTTGTGTCTCGGTTCTTTCACTTAGTATAATGTTTACAGGATCTGTAAAGTATATTTAAGAATGTAGAGATCATGTTTAATTTATTAAACACTTACTGGGAGAATTCTACCTAAAGTTGACGTACTTTCCGAAGATACACATTTTTTTAATAATTAGATTACATATAATTATAATCGCTTCAATTATATATATTATATATATTCAATTTTATTTATTCAATTGCCTATATATAGTACATGCTATCACAATATACATAAACATTTATAAGTATGTATATATGTACATAGATTTGTATAAATTCCATCATTAACCAGAATCACCATAAAAGATGAAAACAGTATTATGAACTGATAGAATGTACTTATTTCAAACGTGAATCTTCCTGCTTCATAACATAATCTCGCATAGAAGATTTGGGGTTCTATTTAAGCATGGAAGCAACTACCAGCTTGATCTATCTTGTATCACCAACACATTTAATGGTGGCAACGTGTAATAGTCACAGTGTCACTATTGATTTTGAGCAATTAGGTTGAATTAATATCATGTTAATCATATTAAATCAAGTGATTTATTAAATCAATTGATTAATCACTTGAGATT